CACTGGCGCTCTCCGAGGGCCCCCGGCGTTCCAGAGACCCCTCAGCGCCCTCCGATCCCGCACGGTGCCCTCCTCCCGGCGGCGTCCGGGGCCCCGAACCCGAGCGGTGCGCAGAGCCCCAGCCCACCAGCTTCTGGAGCGGCAGCTGACGCAAGCCCCGGGGGCGCGCGCGGACGTGACGCCTGGATACGTGTGCGGCCGCCCAGGCGCGCGGGGACTGGCAGAGCCACCCTGCGCCCGGGCGTGGGCTCCGCCCGGCTCCAGCTGGCAGCGCAGGGGGCCGCCTAGCGCGGGCGCTTCGTGCTGGGGCCGCGGGCTTGGTCCGCGCCAGTGAGCATGCCCGGCTCGCCGCCGCCGCCTGCTGTCGCCTGCCAGGGTCAGCTTTTCCGGGTAGGGGAGGGGAGCCCTCCGGGAAGGCGTCGCCAAGGTCCTCTAGCCACACCCCAGGGAGCCACGCCGACGCGTCGCCTGCCTCAAACCAGAAGGGCAACTTCAGGCCGGGTCGAGGCGTGGACGGTGGGTGGGGCGGGACGCAGGCGTCGCCGACCCTGGGCAGGTCGGAAAAAACTGAGAGGTTTCTCTCGCCTGAGTTGAGTCACCAGCGCTGGGGGAGGGTGTGCTGCGCGGCCAGACAGCGAGCTGTAGGTCTGGAACGCGGGGTCGAGAGAAAGAACTTTGGGCGGGAGGAGGACAATGGGTGGATCTGCAGCGGGCGCAGGACCAACTATTAAGGGTACAGGTCGGCCCCTTGGTCCTGCCCCAGGGTGGGGAGGAGGTGGATAGACTTCTTTACTCCTTTACCAGCGGACCTGGCAAAAGCGTCCTTGAATTGAGCGCCTCTGACGTGCATAGTAGGCCAGGGAATGAGTTAATGGACAGCGTTGGCTAAAAGGAGAGTTCGAGATCACCAGGAATGCCATAAACGTGGTTGTGAGACCCCAGTATAACGTGCTGCGCCCTCATCTTTGGGATCCCACCGAAGTCCAAGGCTTTTATGCCTTGCACGCCCAGCGGAAGCCCTAGAGAGGGGACGGTAGTCGGGAGTCAGCCACATGTTTAATTTAATTTAATGTATACTGTACTCTGAGTCGGAGCCCTGATGGCGCTGTGGTTAAGAGCTCGGCTGCTAGCCAAAACGCCGGCAGTTCGAATCCACCAGCCGCTCCTTGGAAATGCAATGCGGCAATTCTACTCTATTCTATAGGGTCGCTATGAGTAGGAATCGACTGGATGTCAACGGGTTTTGGTGCTCTGAAGTTAAACAGCTTTTTTTTTTTTTTTTTTTTTGGCATACTTTGGTTGAGCTCGTGACAGCTGGACTCGGGGGAAGGGACACTGGAATTGGGGAGAGGGCTACCTCCATGGGATTTGGATGATTCTTTGTAGGAGAGAGAGAGGTAAGAAGCAGCTAACTGGACGTAGTGAAAGACGGTGCCCTCCACCCACCACCTGTATGACTGTGGGCAAGTTCTCTAACTTCTCTGTGACTTAGTTTCCTCATCTGTAAAACCGGAATAATAACAATACCTATTTTATAGGTGGAGTAGTCAGTTGATATATGTAAAGCGCTTAGAATAGAACCTGACCCATCAGCACTGTTTAAAAAGCCATTATTGGTGAATGTTTAATGTTAATATTAGTGAGTATCAATGAACAAAATCAGTCAAGAAATATGCTGTTGGAGCCCAGAGGAAAGAAAGTTTAATTTTATAGAGGGCATCTAGAAAGACCACCTGCATGGAATTGGTGGAATTTGATCTAAATCTTGAAAAAAAAATGAATAGATGGAGATGTCATTCAGTCATTCACTAAATGTTTCCTGAACATTTATTATGTGCCAGGTACTGTTTGGGCTCAGCTGAGACTGTTTACCATCCAGTTTACATTCATTCCAGTAAGGGAGCAAAGGACAATAAAGAAACGGAGAGGATTTCAGATACATAGAGGTAGGTAGGTTGTAGGAAGACACCAAAACCAAACCCATTGCCGTGGAGTGGATTCTGACTCACAGCAGCCCTCTAGGACAGAGTGGAACTGCCCCATAGGATTTCCAAGGAGCAGCTGGTGGATCAGGAGCTGAAGGTACAGGGTGAGAGAATGCACTGCCGGGGTACATTGGGGCTTGGGGGGATGTAATGGGAGTGTCAAGGGTGTATGGCTTGTGTAACTGGCTTGATAAGGTATTTACCTCAGTGACAAGGGGAAACACTGTAGGTTTGTTTTTGGGTTTTTTTAAAATTGTGCTTTAGGTGAAAGTTCACAGAGCAAATTAGTTTCTCGTTAAACAATTAATACGCATATTGTTTCATGACATTGGTTGCCAACCCTGTGACGTGTCAACACTCTCCTCTTCTTGAACTTCGGTTCCCCATTTCCATTCATCTAGCTTTCCTGTCCTCTCCTGCCTTCTTGTCTTTGCCCTGGGCTGGTATGCCCATTTAGTCTCGTATACGTGGTTGAACTATGTGTGTTATTGTTTGTTTTATGGGCCTGTCTAATCTTTGGTTGAAGGGTGAACCGCAGGAGTGACTTCAGTACTGAGCTGTAAGGGTGTCCGGGTGCCATACTCTCGGAGTTTTTTCCAGTCTTTGTCAGACCAGTAAGTCTGGTCCTTTTTTGTGTGTGTGTGTGAGCTTGAATTTTGTTCTACATTTTTCTCCAGCTCTGTCAAGGATCCTCTATTGTGATCCCTGTCAGAGCAGTCGGTGGTCGTAGCCGAGCACCATCTAGTTGTGCTGGACTCAGTCTGGTGGAGGCTGAGGAAGTTGTGGTCCATTAGTCCTTTGCGCTCATCTGGCCCTTGTGTCTTTGGTTTCCTTCATTCTTTCTTGCTCCAGACAGGTGGGACCAGTAGACGTATCTTAGATGGCCTCTCACAAGCTTTTAAGACCCCAGATGCTTCTCACCAAAGTAGGATGTAGAACCTTTTCTTTATAAACTGTTATGCCAATTGAGCTAGATGTCCCCCGAGACCATGGTCCCCAGCCCTGAGCCCAGGAACTCGGTCCCTCAAGGAGTTTGGATATGTCTGTGAATCTTCTGTGACTTTGCCTTGGTCAAGTTGTACTGACTTCCCCAGTATTGTGTACTGTCTTACCCTTCACCAAAGTTACCACTTATCTATTGTCTAGTTAGTGTTTTTCCCTCCCCACCCCTCCCCTCCCTCGTAACCGTCAAAGATTGTTTCTTCTGTGTGTAAACCTTTTCATGAGTTTTTATAATAGTGGTCCCATACAGTATTTGCCCTTTTGTGATTGACTTATTTCACTCAGCATAGTGCCCTCCAGATTCATCCGTGTTGTGAGATGCTTTGCAGAGTCATCATTGTTCTTTATCGTTGGGTAGTACTCCATTATGTGTGTACCATAGCTTGTTTATCCATTCATCTGTTGATGGGCATTTAGGTTGTTTCCATCTTTTTGCTGTTGTGAATAATGCTGCAGTGAACATGGGTGTACATATGTCTGTTCGTGTGACGGCTCTTATTTCTCTAGGATATAGTCCTAGGAGTGGGATTGCTGGATCATATGGAATTTCTATTTCTAGCTTTCTAAGGAAGCACCATATCATTTTCCAAAATGGTACTGGTTGTACCATTTTGCATTCCCACCAACAGTGCATAAGAGTTCCAGTCTCCCCATAGCCTCTCTAACATTTGTTATTTTCTGTTTTTT